CCCCAAAACCCCAAAACCCCAAAACCCCATGATGATAATATAGGGGATTAATTGGAAATAAAATATTTTGAATTCAAATTATAATTCATAACAACTATGAGTATTACGCCAACTCATGTGCCCAAGCCATTAAGGCTTAAATAAACGAATTAAAATAAGGAAAATCTGCAGTTCAAAGCTTTTTATTCAACTAAGGGTATTATATATAACCGAAATTACTCTGATTTATTTTAGACTTTGCTGTTATACAAAAAATTATTACTAAGGCAGAGAAATCGAAGTAAATATAAAAAAAGCGATGCTAATCAGCTTCCAGCTCAATATCTCTCTCAGATATAATTGAAGCTTACAAGAAAGTAATGATGAAAATGAATATAGAAATCTTGAATGAAACTCACTACTATGCAATGATTATTAAGCTTAGCTTAAATCAACATGGCAAAACTTGGAGAGAATGCCTTCAATATGAGATGAAGGTAAAATAATTTTTAAATGATCCTCTCTTATGGTTTATATTTGTAGAAAAACCTAATGAAAAAATAGGCATTGTAGTAGTATAAAACAATGACAATAAAGAAATATTTCTGCAGATGGATAGAAAAATACATCCAAACTTACAGAGAGCAAGAAAATAGGTCTATGATAAACTCACAAAATCATAGCTAAATGATAAAGTTAGAAAGTGAGAGGCAATTAATGTCAACGATCAAATAATAACTAACTCCCTTATCACAGAACTCAGCATTGTTTGATATAAGTAGCTAAAACAGAAGCCATCCTCAGCTCTTCACTAATAATGTTTTATAGGAAACTGAATTTCTTAAGAACATAATAAATTTATCAGGTTAGTCCCAGTTCATCAAAATGAAACCTGATTATTAGAGAAATAGCTAATTAGGACACCTTTTAGATCAAAATACAACAGCAAAAAATGCTTTATTAACAACTGCTATGACTCCTTAATTATCTAAACAGGATTTAAAAATTACCTATGAGCCGACTTAGACTGAGTTAAGGTCACTTGAAAGAAATTATCAAAAAAGAAAAAAGGAAAATGCCCTTGTTACTATGGGTAAATTCATGATGAAGTAATTAAAGTTTTACTCTTTTGCTAATTCTGACCCGTCAATTCATCTTCAAAAAGCATATAGAAGATGGAACTATCACTCTTAAATAATGACTTAGCTGATAGTGAAAAAAGAACTTTTTATTAATAAATGGATGAAGGCTTATGAGCATTACAATTTCAAAGCATAAAAAAAGGTATTCAAAGGAATATTAGAAACAGGTGCGAAATTGAAAGTTGTCCAGCAAATAGAACTTCAAGTTAGAGATAATTTTGAATCTAGACTTACAAATCTAATATTCTTTCAATGGGTTGAGAAATTTAATAGAAGAGTACAGTATAGAAATAATCTGTTCAAAGCAACTTAATGCTGGGCTAAGAATTCATAGTCTAAGCATTTAGCTTTGTGGAAATGTTTTGTTGGTCAATAAAAAGATACAAAGATGAAGTTCAGAAATTTTCAGATGATTAACATTGTGAAAACCTTTTTGTAGAATGGAGTTCCTAGGAAGCTCTATAAAGATTAATAGACTTTTGGCGATTAGTTTTAAACATTAGTTGTAATAAGGAAACTTAAATCTCTGGACTAAGTTGAATTTGATCAGACTATCTATCTGTATGAAATGTAATTCAAGGCAGCAATATTTGATGCAATAAGATAGCATTATATTAAAATAAGCTAATTCAAAGGTATGTAAATGATGAGGAAATGCTATAAAACGATAGTTTTATGGAAAGGCTTTATTTAAAACAAAATTTGGATGAGGGAAAGGCAAGAGTAATTTCTAGAAAACTTAGTAATTAAGAGATATAAAAAAATACTTCAATAGTGGCAAGGCTATTCACATTAATAGTTAACTTTGAAGCAACGCATGTTCTGCTTCTAGAAAAAGAATTCATATAAAATCATAGATAAAGTTATGGCTTCGCTTTTTAAAAATTATAGACATAGGACAATATCATTCAAGAATAATACAACAGCAAAGCTATTCCATAATCAAAATTTATATGTAAAGACTTTGGTATCTTTGGAGCATAACAGAAGGCTATAAAAGGCTCAAAGATTATTTTTAAACTCAAAGATGCATCATCTTGTAATCTTTTACAAAAGAAGAATCCTATACTCACTGTCTAATCTTGCATAAAAAAGAAAGTAAAATAGAGCTCTTGAAACTTACTTATATGAATAGAAATCGTAATAAACCAGGAGAGATATATTTATTTCGTGGATTACTACAGCTTTTAATCAAAAACGAGCTAATTACTTTTACAAAAAAAATTCATTTAGAAAAACGCTTGACTTGCTAAGGAATGGAGTTCAAATTTAGAAATATCTATAGAGATGTAATAAAAAGGGATAGTAGCTTTATAAGAAAAATCTAAAGTAAAGATTCATTGTATTTCTTAGAGAATCTCTTTATGAAATTGAAATGAGAAAATAACTTTACTCACAACTACTTGAAGAATCATACTATGCAAGAATGGCTAGATTATTTAGAGGTTTTATAGTGAACAGATAGTAAAAAATTATTAGAAGAGAACAAACAGAAATATGCAAATAGATTTCAAATGAAAATAAAAAGCGATTAAGTCTTAATATTCTTCGATACTCCACTAACTAAAATCAATAAATAAGATAGAAGATTTGTAATTACGAATAGAATCTCAAATATGAGATGTTTTAATATTTGAAGTATTCAGTGCAGAAAGTATAGCAGCTTAGGGAATCATACTATGACTATATTGTTGATAAATCTAGATTAAAAGCCACTTTGATGCTAGTTCATTGGTAGAATAAGACTATTTAAAGAAGTTTCAGGAGGTAAACTCTAAACTAAAGAATAGAGTACTTCCAGAAACACAGATTTTTCAGAAATTATAATAGATTAAAGACTATTAAAGGGTACTATGAGTAAAAATTGCAAATATTTGAACTGTTTTAACTAAAGCGAAAACAGTACAGTGTAATTTAAGGCATTCTATAGTATATAAACTCAGACTCCCATTTGAATGATAAAAAAGCAAAGCACCACAATAGATAAATTCTGATCATCAAAGCTTTTGCAATACTAAAACGTCAACGTGACATTAGAAGAATAGGTATATTTATCGAGGCTAGTTTACTATAGGACAAACTTAGAAAGTTCTATAACATTTGGTAGGCATCCTATTTGAATTCTCAAGCAAACTAGGAAGCAAGGTAATATCTATAAAGCAAGAAGCAAAGAAGATTATTCAAAGCTTGGAAAAATACTGCTTAGACCTCTCAAAAGTAAAGATTAAATAAATCTTTGGCAGCCTATCAATACGAGAATGGGCTTAAGTATAGATTTATCAATCTATTAAGACACAATATTGAGATAAATAGAAACTAGCAGCATGAGTTACAGATGCTAGATGTTAAAGCCTATTGGTTCAAATTGATGAAACTCTTTAACGAATGGAAATAGCAAACTTATGATAAAAAGATATTGCAATAGAAATAGTTCACACTTGAAATGTATTTGAAACAAAAAATGGTGTCTGTTTATTATCAAAATATGAGAAAAGCATTTAGATATCAGCTGATTCTTAAGAATCATTATTAAAACTAAGATGTAACTATACTAAGGAAATACTTCAAAATACTAAAGCATGGTTATAAATCGACCAAGATAGGGAATTACCTCTCTCAAGAATCAGATATGCATCATTCAAAAACCTTGGTTTAAAAATCTTACTAGAGTCTACTTAGTTACGCCCGTTATAAGAAGCAACGTAAAATAAAATCCCTTTAATCAAGTATCTGGCATTTTAAAAGGATGATTCACGCATTCTTAGAGCAATTAAGATTTGAAGTCTAACATAAACAAACTTTATCAGAAAAGTAGCATCTGGTAAAATACTCAAAGAATGAAACACTTGTAAGAAAAACTTTCGCATTCTGGTTGAAGGAATAAAGATTCCAGGTGAATTAAAGAAATGCAAAGCTGTATAGAAAGAAAAAGAGCTTCTCAAAATTTAGATCTTAACTTAGTATTAAAAAGGTGGAAAAGGAAGCTAGATAGATGAAGGAACTCGAGGTTATTGAGCTGCTAGCTTATAAACTTCAGAAGAGAGCATTCTACGGATTTAGAATGTATAAAAAGTTCTTGACATATAAAAATGGCTTAGAAGGACTCAAGTTATAGTATTAGGCTAGGAAATGGTTTGATGTGTGGAGGACAAACTACTTGCATAAAGGTGAATTTAATTACCTTAATCTTGGGGGTGGAGATGGTAACTATCAAAATTATAACAATGATCAAACAATGAATGTAAGTAGATATTGATGAATTAATCGTAATATAGATATCATTTAGAGCAAGTGAATACAATGGAGGCAAGACTCTGAAGTCAGCAATGAAAAACAATCCATAGACTCCTCTTCCAAACAAAAGAGACTATAGCTATTTAAGCAGCGGAGGATTCTTAGGTAACAAGACTAGCTTCTAATTGATTTGATGATAATTATACATAAGTATTATAAGAGATTGACAATTCAAATGATTAATATATAAATAATGATAATAACTTTAAACTGGCATATATATACAAGAATACCTGGCAGATAATATTTTTACAAATCATAAATTACTCTTTTATCATTTGAAAAGCATAGGATCTTCATTTTAAGATATAAAGCAAGATTTCTTGCAATTTATACTCAAACGTAGACAGACAAAGATATCTGAGAAGTTTTATGTCAAAATCTATACAGCTATACTTTTCTTATATTGATTTATATTTATTCAGTTCATAATTGATTACTTTGAATCCCTTCATTCTATTTCTGTTATATGCATTCATTAATCTCTTGAGTAGTTATATGCAGCTCTAGTATGTATAATGAGTTGATTGTTGACAAAGAAGAAACTGTCAGATTTAGGTACCCAAGGGCTATTGATCATCTCTTCTTTCTCTTCTGGTGTAAGCTTAGGCAGATCATAAATAAATTCAGCTTGATTTTGACTTTTTGGCATGCAGAATGGGAAATTAAATTCAAAGTTTGTAAGCAATCTATCTTTGAAGTAGAACCTTTCAACCAATAAAAGATCTTTTATTGGTTCATCTCCATCCACATAGAATTCTAGTTTCAATTAAAGAGTTTTTAGCTCTAGGAAATCTGGTCCAAAACCGTATCTTAGTGTTCTAAAATCAGCACTCTCATTGCCATCATCTTCTTCTTGCAAAGCATAATTATGCGCGTAGATTTGCTGATCTTCTGTAATCTCAAACAAGCACAGCCCCGACTCATAATCTCTGATTTCATAAGTACCAAATCGAATAAGAGTGTTGTCCCTTAAAGAACAAAAGTTTCTATCACTTGCTCTTTTCATTATGCGCACATAATCTGGAGTGATTATATCTCCACTGCCAAAACTTGATCTTTGACTTCTGTTGCTATCTTCTGATTAAGTACTGTGTGATTCCATTAAAAATTATAAGAATTATATTTCTAAACTAAGTATTGCACAATTTTTTTAAATCTAACTGTTTGGGGTTTTGGGGTTTTGGGGTTTTGGGGTTTTGGGG